GGCCCCGCGGCCCTGGCCCGGGGGTCGGCCGGGGCAGCCGCGTCGCCCACCGCTCCTCGAGGGCGGAGGAGGGGGAGGCTGTGCGGCCGCGACAACCCCCCCTCCGCCCCCACTGTGGGTTTGTCCCTCTTCCAGGAGTGTGTCAGACGTGACTGGCGGCTGTCTGTGCCTTGGCGCCCCGGGAGGGAGTCGGCAGGGTGGTTTAGCGGTTATTTGAAGTGTTTTCCTGGCTTGAAGACTACCTTGTCATTCATACGTCTGTTTATCAGGTGGTCTCAATTTGACTACTCATTTTTCTGATCAAATTCAGTCAGCCCCCGAAGTGTGTTGATGGAGCACTATGTATATGTGGGGCTTGTAAAGTGGCCTTCAATCAAGTTGTATTGTATGTCTGTACTAAAGTAGACAGCGTTGAATATTTTCTTTTGGAAATTGATCAGCTAAAGAGCCTCCGAATAGTGTGGTGATTTTGTTCGGCTATCTTAGAGGCATGGGTCTTTCTTTTCTCCCGAAACTAACTTAGGAAAGAATGCCTTCCTTCTTCCCTGACCTCTTCTTCGAACCCTGCTCCTCCCAGAGTTTTAAATAAATATGTGTGTTTGAATACAGTGTGAAAGGCCTTTTTAAACTCACTCTATAACTGCATATTTTTATGCCAGAATCTAAAGAACAGTAAGAAAATTGTGTGATTTAGAATTACTTTGTATTTGACATCGTAGGCTAGGTAAGTGATTTAAAAGGGATACTTTTTGACAGTAATTAGATTATGAAAGAGGTCACCTGGTTCCAGATTATTTCTTTGGGGACACGTCAGTAGTAGGAGGCCTGAAAAATGCATATGAACAAATTATGTAGCTTGTCACTTTCTTTATTTCTAGATTCTTGTCTTTTAGTACTTTTTTTTTTTAATCACTATTTAAAAGTCAAAGTTACCATTGTTTTCTTGAAGGGAATTTGTATTTAAAACATCCAGTGTACAGGTACTGAGGTCTTCTGAGGAGGAATAACTAATATATTAACACTTTGGTCACATGCACATTGTGGTATCAGACTTTACTTTATCTTCTATCTTTTGGCGGAAAGAGGTTAAGACGATTGTTTTGAAAACAAAAAAAAAAAGTCTCAGTAGATTTGTTTGCTTTTTGAAATTAAACCAACAAATAGGTTGAATGTAGAGAAGTTAGTAGACAAGTTGAGAATTTATGAATGAAGCAAAGCAAGAAAATCTGTTATTGACCCACATGTCCAGTTTCCCTGAAGATCACTGACATAAAATAAGACATTTTTTCAGTTTGTTTTGTTAATGTGTTTTTCTACTTTAAACAAATTAAGTGCATTGATTAAATCTTAAGTATATGCAAATTATGACATTTAAGGAGCACCTGGTAAATGTATTTTGGTGATCTAGAATCTGGCAGGTGGAATCAGGTATTCATCATTTACATTACAAGTAAAGAAGGCCAAGAGCCTGCTGTCAAGCTCTTGACAGGAGACAGTAAAGGTGCTTAGGAACATAGTGGTTTTCCAATTCTGATTTGATAAGATGCAGGCAGTGTTTCACATCTCTGTTATAAAGCAGTTCCACATAATATAATTTGATTGATAATCCTCACATTTATTCTGTGAAATAAATGAGGTGCTTTGCAGGCATGCAGATAGGCCTAAGGTTGAATGTTTTGCCCTAAATCTCAGAACTACAAGCCTTAGTTGCCTTAAGTTCCTAAACTGGGAAAAACATTTTATCTCTGCCACTTTGAGGTCATATAGTTACATGGACTATGTTGAAAAAAGAACAAGATGTGTGGTTTTTTTTTTTTTAAAAAGATTTATTTATTTATGCATACAGAACTGGTGTTGTAGGCCAGAGGCATGGGGCGGTGAGAGGATTCAAGAGGCAGAGTGGGGAGCAGCACAGGCAGATTGATAAAGTACACTGCTGAGGGCAGCAGTGGGTGAGGCAGGAGAGGTCTGCCACGCCATGTGGATCATCTCTGAGGCAGGGGTTTGAACTCACACCCAAGCCGGCCTTAGCCAGCTTGGCAGTGCTGTGCTTTAACCTACTGTGCCATCAGGGAGGGCCCGAGATGTGTTTTTAGAGTAAGAAAATACAAGTTTTATGCTTGTTTACTTGTCATAAGGAGTAAATACAGCAACGTTCTTTTTCTTCAGGGAAAATCCAGAACGAACCTTTGATTTGGTACTGAGAGTGAAATGTCATGCCTCTGAAAATGAAGGTATGTGTGTTTCTTTAATTGTAAAATATTTGATTGAGCTTGTCAGAGTAACTGGAAATATTGTGGACTACAGAGACCATGATAATATCAGGTCACTAAATGTTCCAAATGTGTATTCTGTACCTAGTCTCTCAAGGTGCTGGTAATAAAATATGTGTTTGGTTTTTGTCATGATATTGTAGGACTCACAAATGTGATCTGGGCACCTTAAATTTCAAGTGCATATTAAGGTCATGTAACTTAACAACTCAACTTTCCCTTTTATTGACAGGCTTTTGGTGGAAGGGCATGCTTTTCATTTTCTTATCTTTAAAAGATTAGCTCCTTTTTTCAACATTAATAAAAATTCCGCCAGTACAAGTGGAAGCCACACCATTTCCCTTTTAATGTTTCTAGAATGTGGGAAGCAGGCTGAGTGGCCCCTTTTTTGGATTTGTTCTAGTACATACTATTTCAGAGGGAGATAAAATAGTCTGACATTACTTGCTAGGGTTTCATCTATCAGTTTTATATAGTTTTCTGTAAAAATGAAAATACTTCAGTATTGTAATTTTTATCAGTTCTCTCCATTTTTTTCCAGAGTCGTTTGTGGGTGGGAGAGGAGCATAGTGATGGTGGTGGGAAACATGGTAGGAAAGAATGCAGGCTCACTCTTGTTGTGTGTATCCTTTTTAATGTGTGTGCTTGTGTGATATGTTTCGTGGACATCTCCAGTGTAAATTTCACTTGCGCCCAAAATGGCATGATTAAGTGTGGGATTTTGTGGCATCTAGCTGGCCGTTCTACAACCTCAGTGGAAAGTCTGTTGACACTCTTAGCTCCAGAAACTGGCCAGCAATTATATGTTATTAAGCAATTTGGACCTGCACACCTTAAAATAGAGGAGCCCAACCCAGCTGTGGTGCAATGGGCATGGCTAATTTTAGGTAGGAAGTCACACATATTTCTGGCTTCTCCAGCCCTGCCTGCTCTCCTGCTGTTTGAGCTACAGCTGTGGTCAGGTTTGTCCTAGGCAAACCTGAATACAGGTTTTAAGGAGATTTTTCTGATTAAGGTTATCTTATTTTGTACTGTGTGCATTAAAGTTTGTCCATTTCTATGCATTCCAGGCTCAACTGAGATTCTAATGGCTACATTATTTGTTTTCAGCTTGAATTTAAATGCATTCTATAGCTTATGGTATGAATACCTACCTAATATTACCTAAGATACACTAAGTGCACTCACTTGAGGAGTTTGTAAAACAGGCTAAATTTGTTTGGAAAGCATTTTTTCTTTATAACTTTAATTTTCTGCTAAAATGATCTTGATAAAGGAATTGATCGGCTTTTATAAAACCCAGTCTATGAATGGGTCAGATTGTATTCTCCTAGAAAGAATTTTGATTTACTCCTTCTTCATTCTATGCCTTCCTCCCTCCCTCCTCCGTTTTTCAGGAACTAGTTATTTCATTGTGTATTTTTTTGTCCTCTTTTTATTATCTTCTCACCTTTTGCTCTTGTTACTGCTTAAATCACTACTTATTAGAAACATCTTCATTTGATTTTAATAATTTATCCAGCATGTTAAGGTTGTCAATGTAATAAATAAAATATTTACTAAAGATATAGATCAAGACAGACACTTTTGACCTCTTTAGGTTGCAGTTAATTCATTCTACTCATATATTTCATTATGTATTCCATAATGAGTAACTGGCAGCAAATTCTAAAGATTTTTAAAATGCTAAACTTACTCATATGAAAATCACTAACAACTTTTCTTCTTTTGATTATGATTTAGCTAGTATGAATATGACTAATATTAGGGTCTGAAATTGTTCATTTTTGTTCTCTAAAAATAATGCTACTAGATAAAGTTTTATGTCAAATTGAGAGTGTGATATTAATATTTTATTAGTTTTCTGTTTTACTGATTAACATTAGATTATTAGGAGTTGGAGCATCAGCTTGTTTAAAACTGGATAAATTATCTAGCATTCAAATGAGCATAGATGCCTTTTCATAGAATTAGTACTCAGAAAAAAATGTGTAAACTAGGATGCTCTAGGGAACAAATAAACTTATAAAATAAATGTGGTTTAAATTATGGGGAAACTTGATAGTTCACTTAAGAGGAAGTCCAGAAGTAGGTTATCAGAGATCTAGATTCTTTCTGCATTTCAGTTCTGCCCACAGGAAAGGTATCACTGGAAGGCTTAGAATCCTGTGGTCATAGGATAGATGTCAGAGAAATTCAAGCTCTGCTTTCTTTGTTTATAAGTAAGGGCTGACAGACACTTTTTTTTAGGACTCTTTAGAGCCAGAAAGTTTCTTTCACAGAATCCTCTAGAACATTAGGTCTTAATGATTAAGTTTGCCTGGGCTTGAGCGTTCCTGAAGTCATTGGTGGGGCAGAGGCAGAGAAATGAGTGGTAATATTATCATAATTGACTTTCTAAGTAACTGGTAAGGAATGGATGTAGGAAATTAACTAAAACACTCCTTGAGTTTCTCATAATATTCGCTAATTTTTTGAGTGATTATTTTTTGGTTATTTCTCATAATACTGGTTTTTGGTAATGATGTTTAATCCCACAGAAAACATAATGCTTAGGGTGAATTTGGTTGGCAGTGTTACACCAAGCTATTTGGCACATACCTTTTGTTTATATTAGAAAAATTTAAAATTTTTTATTTACCTGAATTACTTAGCCCATAAATCTCTTAGAGACAAATCATTAAGTTTTATTGATTTGGAATTGCATTAGTTGTTGAAATATAATTTGATTTAGCTAGCTCTGATTAGGTGGTGACCTTGACCTGATGTGCTGCTGTTCAGACTTTTCTCAAGGCATTAAAAATAAATGCATTTTTAAAAATAACACATTTTAGAACAGTAGGCAATAGTTTCATATAGAAAGCCCCACAAATTTAAAAATAATTATAACCTGGGTTTCAAGTGTATCCTATACTGTCTTTATTGTGTTTGTAAATTGGTTCTGGTGGTTTTTGACTGGTTGGCTGGGCATCTTTTCATGGACATGTATGGCAACTTCCCCAGAGTGGACTCTCCCAGAGTGAAGCGCTGAAATTTAGATCTTATGCTTTTCCTGGTCGACTGTTACCTGGCAGCCAGGGAAGTACCGCCAGCAGTAGTGGTCACTCCTCAATTTCTAACAACAGAAGTTATTGTTACCACATTCCCTACCATCCTCGTGGTCATTCAGGACTTCAGGGAAATGAAAAGTAATCCTTCTTCAATAAAAGATTGGCGATGCCTCCTCTTAGTTTTGCTTCCAGGCAATGGCCTTGTTTCTCTAGCTTTCTCTTGAATAATCTGTTGACAGCCTACCCCAAACTGTAGTAGAAATAGTAAGAGTTAGTAGCACTAGCAGTAGCACCAGTAACAGCTAATAATTATGCAGCACTTTAACTCTGTCAGGCACACTTCTGGGTAGTATACATGTACTGAATATTTAAGCCACACAAGAATTTTATGAAACAGGAAATGTTTCTTTTCATTTAAACATGAACAAATAGAATCTCAGAGAAATGAACTAACTTTCTCAAAGTAGTCTGGCTCCAGAAGCTGAATTTTAATTTATTACTTTTTAAAAGATTTAATATATATATATATATTTTTAAAGCTGCTCTGTTGCCTCTCATTGTGTACTAACCTTTCATAAGCTGCTTATTATCATACAAGGAAGTACTAGATCATAAGCTTTGTGTGGTACTGTTTTTTTAAATTCAGTTAAAAACACTATTATAACAAATTCTATATACTGAGTATTAGGAATCATGATAAATGCTAGTGAGGTAAGCCATGGTAGTGAGTTAATCTCATGGTGCATATACTCTGGAGTGAGAGAAGATCTAGCTCCATAAATTATTGTATAATTCCAAATTTGGTATGGAGATGGCAAATTACTGTTGTTTCTGTGTGTTCTAAATTCAGGGCAGATGATGAATTTGACTCTCACCCATCCATAAATGGCTATGAAAACCTTGTGTATTTATGTGATCACTAATTACAAATTTATAAGAGTACATGGCTTATGGTACCAACTCCCCAAAACATCAGGAATGCTGCTATTTAGTGCCAGGTGTAAGAGGATTAGGCTAAAACTGATTTTGGTGTTTGGGAGGACAGAGAGGCAGGAATTAAACCCAAGGTTGTGATTTCATGATACCCTTGGAAGAGAGGACACTCACAGTGAGAGATCCCTTTCCTCGCCACTCCTCTCTCTTCTATGATTACAGCTCAGTATTTAGTGAATGTTTGTCTAATAGCTTTAGTTATTTGTTAAGTAGCTCCAAAAAATATCTTTGCATATCTTATTTTTCTTCTTGCTGTTTATCTAGGGTAATTTCTCTTTGGAACATTTTCTCTTTGCCTTTGACTTTCTACTTCCTTCAGCTTTTTCCACACAATATCAGTTTATTCATTCACTTGATCTGTAGTTTATGTTAACAGTGTAATTGCCTCTAGTCTCTTATTATATCAGAACCTTAGGCCAAAGACTCCTAACTTACTGTCTCCCATGCCCTACACACATTACATTTGATATCTCTTCATCAGTACTGATAACTATTTATACTAGAAACCATAACATTTTGCTTCTGCTTGTATTTTAGTACTTGTATTTTCTTATTGATATGTCTAATAAGTAATGTAGAGACATGGATATCAAAAATGCCTAGTTGACCTGCATAAAGTAAATTCCTCAAGAACTGGGCCATGACTTACCAATTTGTATCATTAAGGAAAACTTAGCATAATATCTGGCATATTTAGTGAATATGTACAAAATGATTAAAGTTGGACCTAGCATTAAGTGAGCTGTGAGTTTTTGCACAAAAGTGTTTTTGTTAAATAACACATATTGAACCCCTCTTAATTCAAATACACTTGGATAAATTAGAAAGCATTACCTCAGTTGAAGGAAATGAAATGTTTATTTTATTCACTAGACAGGACAAATTTAATGTGATTCTTTAGAATCATGTCTTTGAGAT